TCACTGATGGACGTTTGGGTTGTCTCCCATCTTTGGCTGATAATGCTTCTGTGGACATGGGGGGCATGATGTGTGTTTATGTAGGGCAGTGTTTTTCGACCTTTTTTATCTCATAGCACACTTGACCCTACAGTTAAACTTCCATGGCACACTTAAATTATGTTGATCAAACAAAGAAGAGTGAAAGAAAGAATATACTTACTGTGCATTGAACTTCTTTTCAAAATAATTTAATTAATTATTTTTAAAAAATTTTGCAGCACACCTAAGATCCTCTCACAGCATACACTTGAAAATCACTGCTCTAGGGAGTATAAGTTGGATTGTAATTGCTGAAGTAAGGACATCTTCAGCGAACGTTTTCCAAAGTGGTTGCAGATTGCTACAATAGCCCCAGTATTCCCCTTCCCCCTATCCTTCTCTCTTGCAGTGTGACTTTGGAACTGTACCCCTAGAGAGGTAGAGTCTATCGTTCCCTCTCGTGAACCTGGTGCCGTGGGGCGCTCTGCCTGGCAGAATGCGGCAGGGGTATTGGTCTGCTCTTGAAAACCTGCCATTGCCTGTGAACCTGTTGGTGGCAGTGACTGTTGGTGGGGAGCAGAGAAGAAAGTCCAAACCAAAGCCACTGTATTAGTTTCTTGTTGCTGCTATAACAAATTGCCAAAAACTTGGTGGTTTAAAACAACACAAATTTATTATCTTATAGTTCTGGAGATCGGAAGTAACAATTGGGCCTTACTGAGTGAAAGTGAAGGTGTTGGCCAGACTTTGTTCCTTCTGGAGGATTGAGGAGACAATCCGGCTCCTTGTCACTCCTAGCTTCTCCAGGCCGTGGCATTCCTGGACTGTGTGGCCCCTTCTCATTCCTCTGTCCCTCATCAGCAAGGCAGCAACTGTCCTGTCCCTCCTGTTTCAGACCTGGCTGCCGTCCTCGTCATATCTCTCTTTCAGTCCCCCTGCAAGGGCCCTTGTCAGGCCTTGGGCCCACCCTCCCTTTACAGAGTGCTTAACTCAATTGCATCTAATTTATTATCATTTGATTCTAAATGTTTTTTGATTTGCACTTTTAATTAATTAGTCTTTGTGAATTTCTTAGGAGTGAGTTTTTTTTTTTATTTATAAGCATTTTTAAAATTATCTCTGTGATTTATTTCTAACTTAAATTTCACTAAACTCAGATAATGTGGTCTGCATAGAAATCAGTTTCTTGAAATTTATTTAGGCTTCCTTCACGGAATAACATGTAGTCAATTTTCTTAATAATTTCAGGCACACTTATGCATGCAGTTGACCCTTGAACAATGGAAGGGTTAGAGGGGCTGCCCAGAAAAAAAAAATCCAAGTATAACTTTTGACTTCCCCAAAATGTTTTCTTTTATTAAATCATAGCTGTGTACATTAATGCAGTCATGGGGTACAGAGTGCTGGTTTTATATACAATTTGAAATATTTTCACCAAACTGGTTAGCATAGCCTTCATGGCATTTTCTTAGTTATTATGTTAAGACATTTATATTCTACATCTAGAAAGATTCACATGTACCCTTGTAAGATGGACATAGGTGTGGTCCCACCAATCACCCTTCCTCCACTCATCCTCCCCCCTCCCCTCCACTCCCTCTCCCCCGTTCCCATATTCTTGGGCTATAATTGGGCTATAGCTATTGTATGAAAGCTGTAAATTAGTTTCATAGTAGGGCTGAGTACACTGGATACTTTTTCTTCCCTTCTTGAGATACTTTGCTAAGAAGAATATGTTCCAGCTCCATCCATGTAAACATAAAGGAGGTAAAGTCTCCATCTTTCTTTAAGGTTGCATAATATTCCATGGTGTCCATGGAATTTATTGATCCATTCGTGGAATGATGGACACTTGGGCTTCTTCCATGATTTAGCAATTATGAATTGGGCTGCAATAAACATTCTGGTACAAATATCTTTGTTGTAATGTGATTTTTGGTCTTCTGGATATGTACCTAGTAGAGGAATTGCAGGATCAAATGGCAGGTCTATTTTAAGTTCTCTAAGTGTTCTCCAAACATCTTTCCAAAAGGGATGTATTAGTTTACATTCCCACAAGCCGTGTAGAAGTGTTCCCCTTTCTCCACATCCATGCCAGCATCTCTGGTTTGGGGATTTTGTGATGTGGGCTAATCCTACTCCCCAAATCTTAACTACTAATAACCTGCTATTGACCAGAAGCCTTATCAATAACGTAAAACAGTTCATTAACATTTATATACATTATATACTATATTCTTATAATAAAGTAAGCTAGATAAAAGAACATGTTATTAAGAAAATAGTAAGGAAGAGAAAATATATTTACTGTTCATTAAGTAGATGTGGATCATTATAAATGTTTTCATCCTAGTTGTCTTGAGGACGCATTGAGCAGGCTGAAGAGGAGGAGGAGGAAGAGAAAGGATTCATTTTGCTGTCTCAATTGTGGCAGAAATGGAAGAAAATCAATGTGTATGTGGAGCCATACAATTCAAACATGTAAACTTAAGGCCAGCCGCACGATGTATTCTCCAATTGTCAAGTGCCATATTTTAAATTTGTACAGCTTGTCAATTGTGTTATTCAAAATTTTATGTCCTTATTTATTTTGTCTGTTTCATCTATCAATTAGGAAGAGAAAGTTCTTAAAATTCTTCTCTACGAAGATTGATTTGTTCATTTCTCCTCAAAGTGTTGTCAATTTTTGCTTTATAAATGTTCATTCTCTTCTTATGTGTGTTAATTTCTTCTGCTTTGATAAATTAGACCTTATGTCAGTGTGTAGTGAATCTGTGGGCTTTAGTAATACATTTTTTGCTTCAAAGTCTACTTTTTCTCCCCTATCAACTTTTATTTAGTGAGTGTTTGCTTTCTGTATCTTTTTCTATACTTCCAATTTTTTTTTTTTACTTCTAACTATTCTCTGTCATTTATTTAGGCTAATCTTTTATAAATGATGTCTATCTGATTTAAAAGAAAATTCACAGTATTTGTGTTCCCACCATCAAATTTTAGTCCATTTAAATTTATTGCTTTAGTACCTTTAAATTTGTTTAGATTCTATCATGTTATTTTATGCTTTCTATGTATCCTGACTTTTCTATAGATTTTCCCCCCTTTTTTGCCTCTTTTGGATGATTTTTTTCCCTCTTACTCATTAAATTTTTTCCTTAGTTTATCTAAAGAGTTATCTTTTTGTCTGTCTGTTAATGGTTGTCTTATTTTAACATGCATGTCTAGCAAAGCCTTAGGATTTTACTCAAACTTCAGAATGCTCTAAGTGCAATCACACCCCTCCAATGCATATACTACTGTAGTCCAGTACTTTTTTAAGCCCCCAAATTATATATTTTCATTGCTCTTATACAGGCATTTAGACAATAATTATTTCCATTTACATACAGAATTTCCAGTGTTTTTCTCACCATTTCGTCATACATTTCTGAACCTTCTATAATCTTCCTTCTGCTACAAATACATCCTTTAAAGTTTCCTAATGGTGTTACGAATATTGCCTTTCTGCTTTTGTCTTCTATCAGTCGAGGTCCTTAGTCTGGAGGGATTATATTACTGTTTATAAAATTCTGGATTGATGGTTCTTTCTCATAGCATGTGGATGGCATTATTCTAGTTGGGGGAAGTCCGTTGTCAGCTTACCTACCGTTCCTGTGTCCTTTATCTCTGCCTATTTTTTTTTTTCTTTTTTTATCTCTGCCTATTTTAAAGAGCTTGTCTTTGTATGTGGTTGGGTTTTGGCAGTTTTACACGATGTGCTTCCGGTGGATTATTTGTCATTTATCTTATTTGTGCCTGTTTGGACCTGAAGTTTGATAGTTCAGCATTTCTGAAAGGTTATCTACTACTGTCTCTTCATAAATTCCCCTTCCACATTTCCTGTGTTCTACTCCCAAATTAGATATGTGTTAGTCTTTTCCTCTCTAACATCAGTGTCTCTTCATCTCTCTGTCCCTCTGGGCTGCATTTTAGTTAATATATCCGTGTCTAACTCCTACTTAGCAAATATTCTCTCCACCTTTGGTCTAACATGCTCTATAATTCTTATTAAATTCAACTCATCCTTTATAATTCTTATTTTTTTCCTGGATGTTTTGTTTAGTTCTTTTTAAATATTCTTGGTTGTTTATAAATTACGTTCCTTGCTTATATTTTCACGTCATTTTTCATGTCCTACAAGCATGTTGAACATTTTTATATTAACCCACGGGGCTGTGGTATGATACTACCGTCTTCCTGTTCCTTCTTCTTCTCATTCATGGTGTCTTCTTTCCTTGTGTGATTTTGTGAGTTTCTTTGAGGTCTCTGACTGTAGAAATTCTCTGAGGCCTGAGTTAAAAGCTCAGATCTCCCATACCAATTAGAGTGAGGTTTTTGGACCACTAAAATCGTTTGAAAGCTAACTCTAATCCTGTCTAAAGGGTGGCTTCTATTTAAGAATTCTCAAGGAATTTCTTCCTCTTCTGCAGAGCACCAATATCCAGGCAAGCTAGTTCCTTGCTGCTCCTTTCTAGGGATTAGTTATCATTGATCTTTATTCTAGGAGTGTAACCTTTGGGGATCCAGCTTTATTGTGGCCCCTCCATGACACTCCACTGTAGGTGGGCCCTGCCTTCCTTTCCTCCCTCCCATATCCTGAGCAGATGCCCAAATGAGCCTCACCTCCTGTGTCCCATAGTAGCAGTTTCTGTGTGCTTGTCAGCTGTTAGGCTCCCCCAGGGGCAGAGGAAGGTGTGGAGGGAGCCACTTGGAGGTGCAGACCAAAGCTTCACTTAGATCCAAGGCCTACTGGGTGGCCTTTACTTCCTTCCATTTCTAAGTAGAATTTCAGTGTCACTAGAAGAGAGCTTTCTCTACTCAAAAGCTGTTGAAATGGTAAAAACCACCTGTTCGGGTGCTCTTAAAGTTCCTGTTCCACAATTATATTCCATGTTCTGAGGAGTGAGCCCTAATTGGATGCTGATACATTCAAGGTGTAACTTTTAACCTCGGCCTGCCCAGCTGTGTACTTGGCAGTTCTGAGACATGGTGAAGATGGTCTTGTGCCTCTTGGCTGAGAAGAGGCCCCTGAGCAGCCCCAGCAGCTGCTGGTAGCGGAGCGCGTACAGGTAGGGGAGCATGGCACGGGGAAGCATCATGAGCACCTCGCCGTTGGCTGCCAGGAGCCATGCGTGAGTCTTGGTGCCAATGTGGTGGTACTTGGTCAGCACAGTGTCCAGGGAGAACATCACCCCTGCGCTCACATAGAGTGAGATGAGCACCGAGTGCATGAGCAGGGTGCCCCTGGCCCGGGAGTAGCCCTTCGTGCAGATGCCGGATGTCCTGGCTTCCGCATAGATCTTCCAGAAGCAGTAGGCAATGAGGGCCGTGCAGAGGAAGAGCAGGCACAGGATGGAAATGTGGGTGACGAGGACCAGAGAGGCACGGCCCCCGGTGCCTAGGCTCAGCGGCAGGATGCACGAGGCCCCTTGCTCCCCGAGCTGGGCATCCTGCCGCTTGCTGAACCAAAGGAGAAACGTGGGGAAGGAGAAAGCCACCAGCCAGATGAGGGCCACCGTCTTCCGCACAGCCCCACATGACACGATGGAGAGGTAGCGCAGAGGATGAGCAACTGCCAGGTAGGTGTGCAGCACCATGGCCGTGAGGGACAGGATGGTGCTGACGCAGGAAGCAAAGACAGCATCTGTGAGAATGCCACAAGCAATGCGGCCTGGCTCCCAGCTGCTCAGGTTGCTGGAGGAGATGAATGTGTGGAAGAGAAGGTAGGCCAGGTCTGAGAGCAGGGTATTGGCCAGCAGCAGGTAGTGGGGGTCCTGCCGCAGCTGTTGACTCCGCAGGATGGTCACTAGCAGCAGAGGGCTCAGGGCTAGTGTGGCCACAGTCAGCAGGCTCGAGGGAAGGCTGAGCCAGAGCAGCAAAGAGCTGGGCCATCGGAGGTCTCCAAGGTCCAGGGAGGTGTTGCTGGCTGCCTGGGACATGGAGGGTGTATTGCTGACAAGCTGGACTGGGGCTGGCCAGGCTGTAGGAACCAGAGGGTAGGGTGCCAGCTTGCCCTCCATGTGTCCCAGCAAGAGTGGTCCGTTTTGTCACAGGTAGTTGGTTCTGCAACTGCCCAGAGTTTTGATCTCCCTCACAGGGTCCTGAGGGTGCCACTCGTCTCTGGAAAGACACCAGGCTAGGGTGAGCCTGAGGAAAGACTGTTTAACAAAGATAAAACCAGCAATGTGAAATTCACCTTACACCTGGCCTTCTGTGTCTGTGGCTGTGCTGTTGCACCTGTGTGGGTACACGTTATAGATCCCACTGCCACCATTCCATAGTCACTGACTTCTCCAGAGTGTCTCCCATCTCAATGTCCCCTGAACCTGTGTGACAGTGTTCACCACACTGGATTGAAATCAGGCTGCCCAGCTGGAAGGGAGGGAGCAGCCATTGGAGACTGGCTTTGCTGGGCTCTGGGCCCAACCTAGCCTCTAACTGGCTGAGGGCTTATGAAATGGGGTCAAGCTGGAGGTGCCTGGGTGTGTTCCCACATCACAGAGCCTGGGTGCCGCCTCCTGGCCAGGGAGGCCCTGTGTGTGTCTCCTACATCCCTTCCACACAGGGATCCATGGGGAGAACACTGTGGCCTCAAAGTCTCAGCTGATTTATGGGTTTTCTGTCTGGTGGGGCCCTCCCTGCCACTGGGGAGGAGGTGGCCTGGCAGGCAGACACCCAGGAGCTAGTGGTGGGAAACAGAGGCAGGATGAGAGGAGTGGAAGGTGTCCCCATCCCCTGCCACTGCAGCCAGGACAACTGAGTTGGAGGGATGTAGACAGGGGGCCGGGCTCAGGGGAGGCCAGCAAGGTGTGGGCTATGCCTCGGGTGAGCAGTTTCCCCCTCCCCAAGGTGCTGGCTATGTGGCTTTTAGAAGTTTTGTCACCTTCTACACTCCAGTTTCTTTATTTGTGGCACAGGGTTGCTGCCCATATTGACCTCAAGGACACGTTGCAAAGGCCCCGAGGTAAAGGACTTAGCATGGTGTAATCCAAGGTAATGCTCTACTGACCTCAGCCCTCCTCACCCACACTGTCCTCTGTGGCTTCAGGTCCCCTCTGCCCACAGACCCCTTGTCATCACTGCAGAATGGGCTGTTCTGGGTGCTCAGACCCCTGAGACTCCACCAGACACCTGCTGCTGGCCCTGGCAGGCTGACTGCTCCACAAGGTGGGAGCCACGTGAGAACCTTCCTAAGGCTGGGCAGGGTATTCTTAGGATCAGAGAGAGGCAGGCATTTCAGACACTGGGTGTGAGAGGTGTTGCCTCGTAACACAAAAGCCACCTGGATAAGACCAGCTGGTGATACACCAGAACTGGCCTCTTCCTTCAACCATGGGCCCCCAGACCACTGGGCTGTCCATGGCCTGCCTCCTTTCTCTCTTAGTGTCCTCGTGGATGGACTTCAGGGAAAATCTGATTCTGCTTCTCCTACTTAGCTGTGGGGTCCTGGCCCAATGACTTTATGTCTCTGAGCCCCTCTGATGACAACGCCCCTGTCTGGGAGGGCTGCAATAGTCACCCTTGGGTGCTCATGCTCACTGCCAGCGGCCACTTTCCTGAGTGTGCCCCATAGACTGACTCTCTGCCCTCACACATCACATCGGGGACACAGTGGAGGTAGGGAGCAGAGAGCTGAGCTACCCTAGGACAAACCCAGGAGAGCCAGGACAGAGGCGCCAGGGTGTTTGGCCCCAGACTTGTTCTTCTCAGCTACCAGGCCCTTTCTCTAATAAGCGTGGTTCCTCCATTCAGAGCTGACCAAAGGCCCTCCTCTGCCCAGGTACCCCACATCCCCTTCAGCGCGGGCCACGCCCACTGCCGCCGGAGACCACGCCCACAGCAGGCTGGAGACCAGAGTCTTCCCCCAGGGTCTGTTACAGCGTCTGCCGGAGCATCAGTGTTTGCGCAGGATGGCAGATGATGGTGAAGACTATGGGTGGTTCTGCAAAAATGCCTCTCCCATTCCAGAGACTCTGTGATGCTCCAAGGCCGAACACGCCTCCCCTTGGCCTGCCTGCCTTTGGCGACCCAGCCAGTCTGCCAGTTCTCTTCCGGAATCGCGGGCCCCTCTCAGCACCAGCACCCTGAGGAGGCACCCAGATGCCGCAGAGCTGAGGGGGCAGGCTCTCTGCTGTCCAGCCCAGGAGATTGACCTCACTGGGCCCTGGCTGCCAGTCTTGCCCTATCTGGCCGCCTGAGAATGCAGATTCCCTGGAAGAGGAAAACTGGCTAAATACCCTCTCGGTACAAATGTGGCTGGCTGGGAGCTAAATCCTTCTTACAGCTGGTTGACTGGGACAAACAACAGCTCCTTGGAAACTGAAAGGACGTAATCCCAGGATGAAAGAGTCGCCGAGTGTAATAAAGCACCTGTCTTCCGCTGAGGATTATTTTATGACTTTAAAAATACATAAAACAATCTCTAGTACCGTGAGGGTGCTGCCCCGGAGGGAACATCAGTTGGGTCTCACTTCCTGGGTGCCTCAAGGGAGACTGCCCTTTCCAGTAAAAATGCAGACTGCCTTGGATGTGGGCAGAGAGCTGGCCACCCAGTGGTGACTATGGCGCTAGGTCTTCCTGGGTAGTGACCCTGCAGTCTTTAACTGCTCTGTCCCATTGCCTGGACTCATTATGGTTGGGACAGCCCTGCTGGCCTTGTAGGTGCTAATAGTAGGTGGGACACAGCAGAGGTTGGTGACTCTGAACATCACTTTGGAAGTCAAATCTTGGCCATTTGTGGCACTTCAAAAGCATAAGGAGGCTGGAACATCCCTGCCCTCCAGGAAGCTAGAAAGCTGTGGGAGGTCCTGATGTAAACATGTTCAAAGCCTAGAACAGACAGACCCACAAGTCCTCCCCCTGAAGCGAGGTAGCGGTGACTATGCTCAGTGCTGTCATGAAGACCATCTGCATGTGGGCACCAGGCACGTTGCCGCACAGAAATGCCACACTGCTCTGTAAAGCTGGCATGACAGGTTGCAGGTGGGAAACTGATCCCGAATCGGTTAAGCATCTTGCCCAAGGTCATGTTTTGAGAGAATTCAGTATCAGTAAGAAGCCATCTTTCCTGACACATGCACAGTCCCTGTTGCTATGTCCCTAGAGTTGGTAGCAGGACAGGAGTTACTTACTGTGGCATCATAATGAGGCTGGGGGATCAGGGTGTAGGCAGCAGCAGTGGCAGAGGCAGCTGAGATTCCCCCAGCCAGAGCTCCACATCACACACTTGTTTCCATAGGCAGCCGCAGCCAGGACTATCAGGTCAGAGAGGATGATTGAAAGAGGGCTCCTGGTCTCCTGGCAGCAATAGAATGTCCCTCAGCAACTGGCCATGTCACCTGACCAGGCTGCAGGAGTGGAAGACATCTCCACCCTCTGGGCCCTCGTCATGGTGCATCTGGGTGTGTGCATGTGTGGCAGAGGTGAAGTGCAGAGAACACAGCAACTAGTGGGTGCCAGGACTGCAGTGCATTTTCTTCCATCCTCAGAACACTTCAGAGGATAAAACCGAGATGCATGTGAGGTCCATTAAGTTCCCCGAGACCACTTAGCAAATAAGTTTCAGAGCACAGGCAGGTCTCACTCCAAACCTTGTGTTATTTCTGTCCTCGCTCCGTCTGTTTCCTGGAAGGTCTTCCCGCCTCTGCCTTCCTCGCTGGCATTAGTACTGGGCTCTTCACCATCATCACCATCTCTACCAGCTTCAGTCCATGCATCTTCATCATCACCCTCACCCTTATCTCATTATCACCCTCACCACCACCGTCCTCCTTATCCTTGTCATTACTGTCACCATTGTCATAACCATCCCCATCCCCATTGTCATCATTTGATCACCACCATCACATCTACATGTTGCCCTGATAGTAAACAAAACTCCCCCTTGGTTTCTCTTTCCTCTTAAAATAAAAACCAAGATCTTGATCCTAATGCACAAGACCTATGGCAGCCTATCTCTTGCCCCTCCCTCCCTTTTTAATCCTCCGTGCTCCGACTCTCACCTCCCTTCTACTCCATAATGTACAGCCCTTGCTGCCTGGGGACATTGCTACCCTCTGTCTATACTTCACTTCAGCTCAGCCAGATCTCAGTTCGAATGACTCTTATTCTGCAAAATGTATCCTGACCCTTAGAATAGACCTCAGCAACCTGCTGTATACAAGCAGACCTCAGAGATTTTATGAGTTTGGTTCCAGACCACCTAGTAAAATGAATATTGTAACAAAGTGTGTCAGGTGAATTTCTGGTTCCTTGTTGCATATGAAAGCTATGTTTACACTAATGAGTGTGCAAAAGCATTATGTCTAAAAAATGCAACATACTTTAATTTGGAAATTGTTACTATAAAAAGCCAACAATCATCTAAGTCTTAGTATTTTTTGCTGGTGGAGGGTCTTGCTGGCATGTTAATGGCTGCTGACCAATCAGGGTGGTGGTTGCTGAAGTTTGGAAAATTTCAGAAAATAAGACAACAATGTTGTTTGCCACATTAATTGACTCTTCCTTTTATGAAAGATTTCTCTGTTGCCTGTGTTGCTGTTTGGTGGCATTTTGCCCATAGTAGAAATTCTCTCAAAATTGGAGTCAATCCTCTTAAACTTTGCCACTACTTTATCAACTAAGTTTGTGTAACATTCTAAATTCTGTATTGCCATTTCAACGATGTTCACAGCATCTTCACCAGGAGCAGATTCCATCTCAAGAAACTACTTTCTACGCTCATTCATAAAAAGCAACTCCTCATCCAGTCAAGTTTTATCATGAGATAAATGAGATGTACCAATTCAGTCTTATCTCCAAACTCCACTTCTATTTCTCTTTTTATTTCCACCACTTCTGCAGTTATTTCCTTTACTGAAGTCTTAAACTTCTCAGAGTCATCCATGAGGGTTGGGACCAACTTCTCCCAAACTCCTGTGAATATTCATATTTTGGCCTCCTCCCATGATTTGTAAAAATTCTTAATGGCATCTGGAATGGTGACCCTTTCCAGAAGGTTTCAATTGACTCTGCCCAGATC